GCCCCCCCGCACAGTGTGCAGGTGACAGAAAAATGCAGTCATCATGACCTGTTTTTAAAGGTGTCTCTTGGGGACAAGGTGGCTTCAGAGTGGAGCGTGACAGACCTGAGCCAACACGTCCCTTTTACTGCTGTGGCAGTGGAAGTAAACACTTGTAGAAGCAGCCTTATCTCGTGTATCACCTTGTTGGTATTAACCAGCCCAGAACGGAGAGATTAAAATAAAAATGCTATTTAACTCATCTTTATTTAAGCTTTGTATTTTGTAGGTAGATTATAGGCAAGATCATTAAACTTTATTTACAGTATAAAATACAGTATTTTTATCAATGAAGTGATTTTGAGTGGCAGCATATATTACAACTTGCACTGCATTTGAGGCTGCTCAGCTTGACCTTGCTACAAGAACATGAAGCCAAGTTTGACAGAATTTAGGGGCAAAAAACAAAGCTCTGTCTTGAATACATCTGAAGCTGAAACGTGTACCACAAACGTGACAGAAATAAACTTTGCTTTTAGAAATCAAGCTCGTATGTGATCTGGTGGCAAGTCTAATTTTACATGCTGCTTAATTTGGTGCTGCAGCAACGCTGGCACTTAGGATATTTCTGAGAGGCCTTCTGTTTGATGCCCAGAATGGGACAGGTAGTGCTTGTTGCATTATGCTGGCCAGGAACAACTACCACCACTTCGTGCTAGAGCCACCTGCTGACTTACCACACTGAAGCATACGCTGCCAGGGCCTCCCTTCCCACTACAGGAGCACGTGGATGCTCCTGAACAAAACATCTTTAACTTCAGATAGGGACAGAAAGCCTGGAGGTGCACCAGGATGGAGCAGCTGTAGGTCTGTTTTCAAATAAGCATACACAAGTGTTTTCTATTATCTACAAATATTTATTTTAACACTTGGATGTAACTACAGGAAGCCCTTGGCACTGATAGAAAATATTGATTCACTGTTAGGTTACAAAAATTTATACATAGCAAAATTTAATGCTCTTTACATAAAAATATTAGACTACTTAAACAAAACTTCAAAAACTCCCAGTCATAGCTACACTGAATTAGAAAAGAATTAGGCTTTAAGACACTGCCTCCATTTTACCCTTATGCAAACACTGGGCTAGAACATCACCTGCATTGCCGTAGAAATGTCTCCTTCATGCAACAGGTAAGAACATACACTAGGCTATTTTGTCATATTTGCTCTACATTGATCAACTTTGCCCCTGTTTTGAAACTGTCAAATTAGACTTCAACATTTAACAAAAAAAGATTCTATTTGAAGTTAATACCCCCCAAAATGCCTTTTTTCTCTTAATACTGACTTGAAGGAATTTGTGCTTCCTTTGCTTTTATATTCAGCAAACAGTCAAAACTATCAAACCACACGTCAGCTTAACATGGGTATGACTTGAATATTTAATTTTTTCAAATGCTGATGTATTTTACTCCCCCCCCCAACATTTATATATATATATCATATAGAACAAACACCAAATATACCATCACTAATACTCAAGATATCACTGAATGCTTCTGAAAAAAACATTAATTAGAAGGCAGACTTCTATGGGAAATGACTTTAAAATGGCACCAGTTTGTTTGTTGTTGTTTCTCTGAACACCACATTTTCTTAATGTGCTAATTAATTTGTAAAAAGGAAAACACAGAAGCACTGACTATAATAAATTTGCTAAGCACCAAGATAGAGAAAGGTGGACGTCCTGTATTCTGCTTTATGGCTGTAATTTTTATTGTTTGTGTAAATCTCTGCAAACGTTCTCATCTGCTCATTTGGAATAGTCAGATTCAGTGTCATTTTAATAAGGTAACACTTTTCACATACTTCAAATGTAGGATAATGGTCTCCTGCCACTATATAAATGCTAAGACATTTATAGAAAATAAATATTAAGGCAAAGCTGACATTTATTTTCCAAGAAGGGGATCATTATCCAGATCCAAGGATCTACATTCCATTAAATAGGTAATAAAAAGATTAAAACTTGGGACCTCTGCTCAACACTCCTGTGAGCACAGGAGCGCAACTGCTTCATCATAGAAAAGTGTGGCACAAGAGCAGGGCACTGTTCCTGCGGCCCACGCCAGGAGTGTTCCAGGGCAGCCCCGCCACAGCTCGGGAGATGCCGCGTGTGCCTTTGCCTAAGGTCTGCACAGCGGGTGGCTGCCTGCTGGTGTGGAGCACCCTCCACAGCTCTGTGCAGGGCCCAGGGCTGTAGGAACACATCAAATGCTAAATACCAAAAGTCTGGAAGAAGAATAATTTGGTCACTTAGTGTGAAGTGTTGCCTTTTAAAATGCCTGGAATAAAACCTCCATTCTCTATAAGAAAGGATGGAAGATTACCCATGGGAAGATTTCCCTATGAAAGTGTTCCAGGAGCTGGAATGTGAAGCTTTTGCACTTCTAACTTTGTTTGGTAGACACACATCTGTACTGCAGAGCAGCTATTTGTTGATTTGTCAGAGCTACAGAATTCTTCTGCGGAATTACTGTGGCAAACATCTATGTGTAAGAATTGAGTTGCTCTTTTGACCGAGACTGGATATCCTGAAGCTCCTGCTCTTCTTTTGCTTTGATATCTTGGTAGGCCTGCATTTTGCTGGCATCCTTTAAGTAGGCCCAGTTAGAAGACAGTATCATGAGGAAGTGGATCTGGAAGAGAAGGGTGAGCATGATGGCTAGTGAGCATGTCAAGAGGCAAAGCAAGCTGCTAGTTAGATTAATAGACGCTCTTTGAAATAACAACCAAAAAAAATAAAGTTACTCTACGTTAATAAGCATTCTGTTATGAAAACAAGCACAGAGGCTATTTCCAAAGGTCTCTAGGATCTGGCATGCTAACACTTCAGTCAGTTATTCACAATTTAGAGGCAGTTAGTAGAACAGTAACAAAATGAGCTACAGAGTTGTACGGATCAATTAAAATGCAGAATGGGGGAAGCAGAAAAAAGGTTTTGTACGTGGTGAGACATGGCATCCGTAAACTACGATGTGCTCAGGAGAACTGCTGGCTGAGGTTGTGCTGGTTATGCATATCCAAGCCCAGATCCCGGCAAGTCTTTTCCCCCAACAAGCAGATGAGAATTCCACCCTCCCCCTGGAAAAAGCCTGCAACTGTAAACAGTTTTATTTACGTGAACAAGGCTACAGTAACAGCGAAAAATTAAACAACAAAACATGAATCCAAAACTAAGCAAAAGCATGCAATCTCTGGGTTAATTGTGTATTTTTATAGCTACATTTTAAATTTCCGTTGTCTAACCTCAGGTGAAGAGTTTTGTACCACAAGTAGCAACCGGTTCTTTTTTTCTTTTAGTTACCGGGTGGATTTTTTCTAGTTTGTGCATTCGTCTCTTCCCAACTTCTTTTCACCACACTTCATGCAACAAAATCTACATCTGAAAACACTGATTCACTTCCCCCCCCCCTTTTCCCTAACAGTGTAAAAAGATCTCTCTGGCCTATGCATGGTTTTGCTTCCCGTGCAGTCATACTTACATTTTTGAGATCTGGCTACTGAGAAATCAGTTACTAAAGTGCAAGCTGTACAAGAGCAGAAGCTATTTATAAGCTCGTTCTCACTAGTTCAGGGTCCAAAATAAAGAATGTGATTGTTCTACGCAGAGCTAATGCAAGGATGTATTTCCTTCCAGAGAGAGTGTGATTTGGCAATTACTTGAAACTGAAGAAAGAGGAAATAATGAACTTCTTCTTTCATGGAATCACTGGAAACACAAGCCAATTAGTCCATTAATACCTGGGCTTCCGATTTCTGCCGAAAAAGATTGGCACTATCTTATTACTCCTTTCCTTTTTTGCATCATGTATATTTTGTATGCTTGGGAGGGGGTTGTATTTGATGAAGAATAAATTAACAATTCTGACCCTGAACTGTTCCAGTACTTGTTTTAGAGATGACTGTTAGAAAGCCAGTGGAGACTTGAACTGAAAACATCCCATCTTCAGAAGGATGCTTTAGAAACACCCTTACAGTAACTGAATCCTCTCGACATGAAAGAATAGCCAGATCTCATCCACATCATAGTTCATATACAAGAAGTCATTTTATTAATCTGATCAGCTAAATGATGCTCACTGAAGCTATTTACAATTACTGTCACAAAATTCAGAAAGCTAGACTTTTAGCCTAGGGTGTCAGTGGTATTTCAGGCTACGCAATGCAGCTCTTTACTGGGCTTATACAATTTAGAATTTAGTGCAGCAATCTTCCCGACTCTTAAACTTCAAAACAGCATAGTTATATGTAGTAGCCATCATGTAGATCAGCTGGTGGAAGAGAACAAAATACAGGAGAGTAAGATACAAGGTGACGGCTCAAGCCCACTTGGGCAACTGTCGATACTTTTACAACAGACGTTATTCTGAGCTTCTTCCAGGGTGAAGATGCAAGATAAATCACTTGCCATTTATCCCAGAGAGGATAACCTACATACAGACCTAAAGACTATTTCATCTACAAACAGCTGGGTTACACCTGGGTTTGGCTGACATGGGGTTAGAAGCTGGCAGCGAAAGGAAGCATTAGATGTATGAATAAGTCATCTCCTTAACGTCCTTTTTTCCAGCTGCTGCCTGTAAGTGGCATTGCAGGGTTGGACTACCCAAACTGCCCGGGGCCCAGACAAAAAAATCAAGAGGTTACAAGCGACTGATCAAAGAAACTACAAAAGTGAAAAGAAATAGGGGACATAAAAGCAGAAATAGTGGGTAGAAGTAGGATTTTCAAAGGATATGCAAAAAATTTTTTTCTAAGGATGGGGGAGGTGGGTTATGATGACTTCTTAGAGCAAATATTTGGGATCTGCTGACTTGTAATGACCAAACTACAGCAGCAAATAATGATGATTACAGCTTACTTTCCTTAATGTCTACTATTACTATTTTGAAGATACACAAAATTTAATCTTAAAGCATCTTAAGCCTGAAAGGAACATGATACGCAATAAAACGTCAAAAAATACTACCCACCAATGCTATGACGGTGGCACCAGCTCCAGCACAAGCCACAATGAACAGATGGTAAGACATGTAGAACTAGGGGAAAAAAACATGTTGAAAACACTGAAGTAAATGAGAGTAATGCAAAATGCATTTCAACTGTTCCCAAGGATAAGGATAATAAAGGCATCTTCATCGCAAGGTATTCAAAGCTTTAGAAAATAAAACTGTTCTGAAATAATTTGCATTTTTGGATGACCTAACAGAATAATCTCAGTGTTGTGTTTAAATCAATCTCTTTATACTACTAGTATTAGTTTTCTCCAGAATTTTTATCAAGCTATTTATTACACTGCGCCTGAGTGACTTGTAGGCGAAAACTGCCTACAGGTTATGTTTCTGTACCTCGTTCGTGTTGCAGATGTTCTCTAGAATCGGGCCACAGGCTTTGCCAGGTACAGCATTCCAAGGGATAATACCTGAAATACCACAGCAAAAGAAACCACTAATTTTAGCGATCAACACACACTTTCTGCTCCTCTCTCCTCTTTTCCGCCCACCTGCCAGTTGTGTTCCCATTCTGGGCATCTGCACGTTGACCAGCAGAGCTTGGAGTTGGCAGGAGGAATTAAAACAACTCACTCAAGTTGCGCTTTCTCCTCACACTGAGGCTCGTTGCCAAGGCATGTTCTCAGATGTGGTTTTCCCATATGGCAGCCAAATGGTTGGTTGGGTTTTTGCACTCCGGGTCCAGTCCCATACCGCCTACTCCCCCACTGGAAAGGGATGAACTGCACCTCAGAGGTACTTGGCACCTTTCAGGATAGCACTTACTTACTTACTAGGTTAAGATCTATTTGAAATGAGGAGAGCGTGAATATGGAGCTAGATGGTAGAGTTACAGGATTTTTTCCTGGTTTAGTTCCAATAGGTAAAAAGCATGTGGGGAACACTGCTACAAGGAAGCTCAGTCTGCCGCACCTACTCCCAGTTACTTTTCTTAACATGACTGAAAATCTGAAAAGTCAACGGGATCTGGCAGATTTAAAATAACTTAAACTCTTAGACCTGTAACAGATGTAAAGCTTAAGCAAAAGCCATTTGAAATAGGAGAAAACCAGCTTGTCTCCCCCATCGAGCTTGCATTTCAAACTCAGCTGGCTGGAATTAGCAACTCTGCAAGGGGCAGGTCACTGAAATTATCTCAGGATGGTTCGGCTTTCAAAAAGATTTTATAGGATTCACTTTAAAGCCAGCATCTTCTCTGCAACTGCAATATACACTTGAAGCCTTTTAGCTACTAATTCCAGCCAAAAACATGAGGGCAGTTCAGTGACACGAGATGCTGGTTAAGAAGCTGCTCTCTCCCACCACGCACTGAAACCCAAATGATTTTACTGATCAGAGGAACAAACACCATGTGACACTTGCACAGCTGCCAAACAACTGGGAGAAGCAGAAAGGTGGAGGAGCACATCTCCTCCCTGCTCTCCCAGGCTTTGCTGCTGAAGAAGATGTCTTCCAAAATCTTCCCAACCTCTTGCTATCAGTTGCTAAAACAGGATGCAAACATTTAACTGATTTGGGCCTTCTTGCCTTTAAAATGAGTATGTATCTTCTCCTACTGGACTTACAGTCTGGAAAGGAAAGCAAGCCCAAGCTTCCTTACTTTTTCAACTCTGAATCCGTTTCCTCAGCTGTCGTGGTTTGAGCCAGCCAAAACCAGGACATGAGCTTTGAATGCCTTAGTTGAAAGAAAGAAACATTCCTAGAAAACGCTAGCTAAAATGAAGCCAAAAGTCCTGGTGACAAAAACTCTTCTGCACAAGGGAAGCTGCAAAGACTAACTTCAGAAAAAATTCACCTCTAAGGAATGAACTACTTTGAAAAGCCTGATCCTATTTTAAGTTATTGTCCCACTCTCTCCTCTGCTACCTGCACACCCATGGGATTGCTGTGTCTCATCAGAAAGCAGTATCAATTCACTAATTGTTAAGGCAGACTCTTGATTGCAGGTTTTTGGTCTTTTAAACTGAAAGTAACTGTTAGTGCAAAGTTCAGGTGTTAACTTCCTATTTAAACGTAAAAACAGCTTTTTGAAAAGAAAGAATATATACAGGTGGGTTCAAAAACCAAGATCTGGTTATCTATTTCTCAGCACTGGTTCCAAGCAGTTTATTTTGAGGCTGGTCTATTTTTAAACCTAATAGTATAGTATTGGAAACCGCCACAAAATCATTTTAGATAAATTACTTGCCAGTTCAGTTAAATTGATTGCATCTGGAAAGAGATCAGTGTAATCTGAATTAATTAGAAGAGTAATAGCACATTCAGAGACACACGATGCTTTTGCATTTGGTTCATTTGATAAGGCTGAGATAAAACTACTGAAGACAGACCAAGGAGAAAGGATAAAGCATTTAATCAGGATTAAAATGAGTACCGTATTGCCTGATATCCACGCAGATCTGGTCCCCTGGAACTGTCACATTTGTCTGAAGTGATTTGATGACTTCGCAAGTTGACCATATGTTATAGAACATAAAGACAGGCACAGCAGAGAAGCCAAAGACCCCAAGCCAGGCCACTCCAAGAACATAGGTGAGGAAAACAAACTGGGCAGAGAAAACACAAGCACTTCGCATTTATTCTTTGAAAAGAACACTTGAATTTTCCTTAACAAGGCTTCAAAATAATCTTTAAGTATACTTTTGGCAATCAAGGAATAAAACAAGCATGAATAAAATCAGTATTCTCATTGCTTACAATTACTTCGGTAGTTTGAGGTCTACTGAGAAAGTAATTCAGATGTTTCCTTTTTCATCAGCCTGTTTGAGCAAATAGCTTGCCCTCCTGAAAGAGCAGTCCATTAATTCCTCAAGATTCTCAGCTAAGCAGGGATGCTGATTGTAGGCTAAACCCAGTAACATTCCAACAAAAATCAGTTCAAGGAGTTTTTTAATTAACTGTAACATACTAGCATTTCTATGCAACTTGCAAATCAAAACAACAGAGCTAATCGATGCTCACAGAGCTCTCCCATACTCCCTGATTTACTGAAGTCAATTTTGAATGTAACATTTGAGAATGCCTATTTTTTAAAACATACCACAACCTTTACAGCAAATCAGAAAGATTCAGTTGATCTGATACACATTTGCAAAGAAGAAAATGAGTTACTTCACCTTAGAGAATCATGGATTTTCCACTGAAATTTGCTGGTTTGGGTTTGCTCTTTTTAAAAATAAAAAAATTACTACATGCATTTTCTTTGGTAAGATTACAAGGTATGGCACTCACCGCTTTGGAAATTTCTAGCTTCCCACTCCCACCTACTGGGCTTCTTCCCTTTTCCCTCTGCTTCTAAGTTTCATGATAAAACAGTAGCCCTGGCATCAGTTCTTACCTCCCTCCTCCTGGTGAGACAAGGATTTGGATCCCACTTGGAAAGTGGGGGAACACTATGACATCTTCTGTGTTCCCTGTTCGCTGTTATTTAACTGTAGGTGTACTGGAAAGACTTTACTTGCGCTGGTGCTGCACTATCTTACTTAAAACTTGTGTGCCAGAGAACAACAGTGAGGATGGGAAAGGCTCTGATGGGGGAGAAGGTTCTCTCAGCCTCACCCAGAGATGAGACACTGAACTAATGCTGCAGTGGTGGAAGTTCACATCCTCACAGGTTTTTGTCCAGATGTGCTGAACAACACCGCAAACATTACAGGAAAGGTTGAGCAATTGGTTAGGCTTTACAGTCAGTGAAGTTGGGGTGTGTGGGGAGGTGGGAGAGCTTGCAAACTAAGGCCCACAAGTAACCCAGCTAGCCTCTAATTCATACACAACTGAACTGAAATACACTATTTCATATTAGATAGTGCCACTCACCAGACCTATGTTTTACGTGAGAATTGAGAATTCTCTCTTTGGATTTTGGATAAATGGACCAATTTACAGGATTTTTATAGATCCACATTTTATGATGAGTGTGTTTGCATATATGTATGTGGAAGTGTTCATGAAAGGAAGAACATAAAGCCTTTAGCTCCTAAAACAGCCAGGAAAAAACACACTCACTCTCACATTTAATGTGATAACTGTGGGAAATGGGTATTTTGCATTACCACAGCCAAAACAAATAGTTTACGGAAGTTGGAAGTCTGTGTTCTGCTACAACCTTATGCAAGATGGAAGGGACAGCCTTTCAGGACCTTGCTCAGTAATTCAACAGAGAAAGGAGTAGAAGAGCTTTTGATTAAGGAGGAAAAAAATAATACTGTATATCCAAAAGCTTGTTGTCCATACCCAGCTGCAGCCAACATTCTGTTAAGATATTTTATCTCCTCACAAATCTTGTTCTGACCCTGGTGTTTTAAGCAGTTCTACTCTACACAGCAGCATACAGGAATTTTTATGCCATGACTGTCACCACTAACACTAATGTGTTTAACCAGAGCTCAAAGCTATTACTCAGCTGCTAAATTCTCTCCTTCACTATGTGGACAAATATGGGCAAGCATGAAAATACATTTTTTCTGTCATATTTCTATGTGTCATGCTGGTATTTGTGTAAGCAGCTGACAATCACGTGCCTGCAGCTACTCAACTGCACAAGCAATTCTCTGCAGCAATTAGATGCACATATGTGTATGTTTCTACTATATTTTGGATCTTTGGAAAACATTGTTATAGATCTAATTTTGCTCCTCAGTGAAGATCATACTTGCTAGAAAAAAAAAGCAAGTTAATAGCTGCTTGACTGGAAAATGATTGTATGTCTTCTTTTTATTAGCTCTTGGAAAATTCAGTAACTACCCAACAGTACAGTGGAAAATTGTTAACCCTCTTGAAAATAAACATGCATTTCTTTTGTATTTAACCAGCTGAAAGTACATATTTTTAAAGTACAGGATATAGATTGTATATTAAAATGCAACAATCACATCAAAAGCCTCTTCTCTTTTCACCCACACTTTCCCGTGGGCGATCTGTCATACTGCTTAGCTTCCTCCATAACTACAAGCTTTGAATTCAGATTTTCAGAAATAGCTTTGAAATCCTGTCTCAGAAACATGGTTATGTTTCTGTTCTTGCAGAGTGCGCCCTGGGGGGCAATGTGGGTGAGAATCCGAAGTTTTATTTTTAGTTAAACTTTGTTTAAAATTTTGTTCTCATACAGAAGTATTTTGAAGGGAAGATGGATTGTAACTTTATGGTTTTAAGTGTTTCAGCTTTATGAGAAAGACTCCCTGTTATATCTATCATAGAATCATTGTATGGTTTGGGTTGGAAAGAACCTTAAGTTCATCTAGTTCCAAACCCCCTGCCACAGGCAGGGACACCTTCCACTACAGCAGTTTTCTCAAAGCCATGTCTAACCTGGCCTTGAACGCTGCCAGAGATGGAGCATTCGCCTCTGTGACTTTTGCCATCTGCAAAAGAAAGACAGCAATACTTGGTTCAAGTGCAAAGATGTTGCGAAGCTTCATTTATTACTGTTTGTCTGAAGGATCCAGACATCCTGAAGCAGAATTGGCTGTGGAAATCAGAAGCATTACAGTTTGCTATTTAAGTACCTCTGCAGACCACAGCCATTTTACAGTCAGCCTTCAAGCATCACCAGCGTGCTCCATGTTTAAAAGCACAAATTTTGGTTTGTGTGTTTAAAATTAGCAGTCTCCAGGCAAGTGGGTTCAGCTTTATGACATGGGAGGCCATGGTAGCACTCTGACAGTCCACCTGCAGAATTTAGATTTGACCAAGCATTCTCAGAGCTCAAGGAAGGACCAGCAACAGGGATTGACTCTGACCACCCATAAGGAGTTAAAGAAAGAAGGCAGCAATATGCTGTTGTTTAAAAAGACAGGAGTCAAACCAAGGACTACTGTTCTCATTTCTGATGCTACTTACCATTCCACTGATGCAGCGGCCACAAGCTGTTGTTTTGAACTCTCCATGCAGCTCCTTCACAGCACTTGTTGTATAAAAACCTTCTGCCAAAAGGATTATTCCGTATAAGAAGAAAAATGATGCAATGCCATAAATTACGTACTGCATTAGCTGAATTCTAAAATGGAATAGAAAAGATATAATTAGATTTCAGTCCTATAAAAACACAGTCAGTCCTCCCAAATCATAAGATAACTCCTTTTCTAGAAGTACAGTTCAAGGCTCCTTAACGCATTTTAAGCAAGCAGACTGCAAGGAGAGGCCAGCATGAGTATCCCACTTCTACAGGTGAACAATACTAATGTGCATTAGTGTTGTACATGCTTGGGGCACATGGTGTAAGCACTCCTTCAGATATTATTTGAAAAAGTTCTCAATTTTGTAAATATCTACTACCTGCAATGACACTCATGTCTAGAATAGGTAAATGGAAAGAGTAATTTCTAAATATTATCAATCAGATTCAGTATCTGAATGTCAGATCTACCACACACCACTTTTGGTCTCCAAAAGTTATACTTCACTATTAGCACAACTTCTCCAGAACTTACACCTTCTTAAAAGTAATTTGATTGTTGGGATGGCTATTTTGGATGAAGCTATTTGAAGAACAGAGAGGTTAATTTTATAAATCCATGCTGCCATTTTTCTAAGGATAAATATATTTTTCCTCAGATGTCTTACCATTCTCCACTAAGTAGCTGCTAACACAGATCTCCAAGGAGCATCTGCATGTTTTAGCTTAATTTAATGACTACCATTTATATAGTTGAATGTTATCCAGACAGATAGCACATCCCTTGTATCAAAATAAGATCTTGCTCATTTAAAATTATATGTGGGAAGTGTTATGCTTGTTTTCCAAACTGATTAAAAATAACAGGATAAATCTGTTGCACCTGTGCTGTAAAGCATGAAAAAATTAAGTCAAGATTTGAGAGAGTATAGCAGAATTCATTTCACCACCATTAACACTGAGGAGAAACTCAATGCATGTTACTAGAAATTAATAATATGAAAACCAGTTTAAAAAAATCTATTCCAAAGGGTGCCTTACTAGTATAGTTTAATTTATTTTATGTCTCTGCGGCCATAAATTACTTGCCCCTTATTAGCACCTCCCTTGCCTTTCTTGTTAGGTCTCTACCAAGTCCAAGACCTCAGCTGTTTTGGTAGGAATGACACGTTTCCCTGGGTGCTGATGCTGTCTTGACAAGAAATAATTGTCAACAACAGCCCAAAATTTAAGTCTTTTATGGCTGCCTTGGCAATTTCTATTTTGCTTAAATGAAGACTGATATGAGAACAGGGTGTTTTGTCACCTGGTTGCTGAAGAACGGCCACTTGCTAAATTTTGTGGCTAACTAACTGCAGGGTTCTCATGGCTCATGCACTGGAGCTGTGGACACAGTACCCAGTCCCAGGGTGTAAGGGTGGGCAGTGCTGGGATGGGGGACCCTGGCGGGGTTCAGTCCACGTGGCAGGTCTGGACACAGAGGGTCCTGGAAGGGGCCAGAAGCCCTGTAACGGTGCTGCAGGACTGATGCCATTGATCCCAGGGGATGGGAAGGGGTCAGTTGCGCATGCAGACTGGTAGGTCTATGTCCACAAGCACACAGAAGCAGTGACGAAAGGAAAGGAAAGGAAAGAAACACATGAAAACTAAGTGTGTCAAGCTGGACCCTGGTAGCGAAGTCTTCAAATAACGTCCTAAAAGCTGGGTCTTAAGGGCAGGTAAGCAAAGCACGCATGCCTTGTTTGCTGCCAGTGCACCCCTCTGCACACAATGCAGTGTGCCCCACGTAGGGCCCCTCATCACAGACGCGGGTGGCCTGCACAGGGACCCCTCCCAGAGCGTTCAGATGGCTTTCAGGTTTTGGCTGCCCTCCTTCACGCTGTCCCCCTGCCACGGCCCGGCTGTGCCTGTGGGCAGTGCTAGCCTATGGTAAGCAGCAGGCAAGATGCTGAACCCAGACCCAGTCAGGATCCCAACGCTGGTCTGCGGTCGTCATGAATCACTACGTGTGCAAAACTCCTCAGTGCCATCACACAAAAGCCTTTTCACACTCCGGCAGTTCAGCTGGAGGGGCCGCGCAAGACCCGGCGTGTTCAGGCCACCAGCCCAGAGCCTGGGACCCCCGCATCCCTCGGTGCCAAGGGGAGAGAGACTCACGTTGGTGGGTCTGGGTGCTGAGTGCAGGCCCTGACGCAGGCCTCCAGGCTTTCCGCTGGTTTCGTGGAGAAGCCTCGGGAACACAAAAGCCCCAAATATTTCACAATAAATCTACCCTCTTTCGGATTAAAATTGTTACCCCTGTTCTGTCACTACAAGGCCTGGTGAAAAGCATTTCTCCATCTTTCTTATAGGCCCCCTTTAAGTACTGGAAGGCTGCTACACAGTCGCTGTGGAGCCTTCCTTTCTGCAGGCTGAACAAGCCCAACTCTCTCAGCCTGTCTTCATAGGAGAGGTGTTCCAGCCCTCTGGGCGTCTTCATGGTCCTTCTCTGGACTTGCTCTAAGAAGTCTGTGTCCTTACGTGGGGAGCCCAGAGCTGAACACAGTACTCCAGGTGGGGTCTCACAAGAGCAGAGTAGAGGGGAAGAATCACCTCTTTTGACCTCCTGCTCACACTCCCTTTGATGCAGCCCAGGATATGGGCTGTGAGCACAGATTGTCAGCTCGTGTCCAATATTTCATCCACCAGCGTGCCCAAGTCCTTCTCCACATGGCTGCTCTCAATCCCTTCATCCACCAGTCTGTACTGGGCATTGCCCTCACCTTGCACTTGGCCTTGTTAAACCTCATAAGTTTTGCAGGGCCCCACTCCTCCAGGCTGGCAAGGTCCCTCTGGATGGCACCCAGAGTGAACTCCGTATGGCATTGCTTCAAGTGAAGTAACTGCACCACTCACCTTGGTGCCATCTACAGACCTGCTGAAGGTTACAGCACTCGATCCCACTGCCTATGGCATTGATGAAGATATTAAACGGTATTGGTAGCAATGTAAACAGGTTACGCAGGATACACACTCTGGTTCTTTGCGTGTGAACATCAAAAAGACACTGACTGCTTTGGACAAACAAGCAACCTAATACTCAGGGATGGAGACTGGGGTTTGAATCCATTTCTACCCATTTAGCATGAGGGTATTATGAGGAATAATGGAAATGGGAGGCATACTTACACTTCACTCAGCAAAGCATGGTCGCTGGCAGTTGTGGAGAAATGCTGCTCAAGGATAGACACAGTTCCCGTGAGCGCCACATGGCCGCAGCCACAAAACAATGCAACCCCCGAGAAGCAGAGAATGGTTGCCACGAGTGAAGCATATGGCACTCCTCCTAGGCACTTAATGCAACATTCAAAGCAACCTAAGCAGAAGAGAGAAAGCAAAAGAAACATTATGAGCAAAAAGCAAATTATGAGGAAAAGAACATCCGTCCTCCGCTTGGTAAAAGCCACAGGGACTAAAAGGCCCAGGCATTGACATGCTAAGCAAAAATCTATAGGTGGTGCAAGACAACATCACCCTCTAAAGCAGTGACCTACAGATCTGTTGGTATGGACTCAACACCCAGAAAGTGTACTGAGTGCTCCTATCTTTACAGGATCAAGAGATCAATGAGCCAGCCTATGAAATGGAAAAAGAAAAAAAATCACTTGTCTAAAGTGATCCATTGCGACTCAGCTGCTCATAGAGAGCTCACCACGTTTCAGCATTACTAATGGCAGGAGCACCAGCTACACTGGCACAATTCAGGAAGCCAGAGAAGCAAATAAGACAATACAGCCTTTTGGAAAACTAAGAGATACTTTGCACTTGGAAGAGGAACACATTTAAGTCTGCAAAACTTAACTACCACTCTCCCATGGCTCCCAAGTTACTTTTGGTATAAATCTGTATGAGGTTATAGGGATACAGATATTTTAACTGAAAAATTGAATGGGAGCCAAAGAGTAGCAATCTATATTGAAAGCAGTGACATGAAGCTGTGTTACATAGACAATACATTTCCAGCTTTATAGGATACACTGGATTTGCAGTGATCCCTGAATACAGTCTGCAGTAGCATAATCATAGTTTTAATGAAATGAATCGTTTAAGCAGACTGAGTTAACAAACCACCATTCCCCCCTCCAAACTGCTGTTTTACAGACTGTAATAAGGAGGTTGCAGCTGAATTGCCAGGTTCCTTCCAACCGTGTGGCCTGAAAACCCATCTGCTTGCAGAGCTGGGAAATGTAAATCGGAAACAAACAGAGCTTTTAACTGCGCTATAATGGTAATGGCAATCCATACCAATTAATTACTTCAGGGTGATGGCATTAAGCTGTCTCCATTAATGTGCATTTCATACAACTGTGCAAAACACAAGCCATTAAGACAACGCTTAATGGAGTGACCAGCGTTGCACGTCGCAGGAACAGCCCGCTGCTTCTCTGGGAAGGCGCTAAACAGACAAAGCTTTTGAAGGCAGGGAGACAGCTGGCGAGCGTGTACACCACATCACATCTTCCCACCCCAAAAATTCTTCACTAAGATCAGCAAGTCTCCATCCGCCACATGAGGCAAGTTTATTTTTATCCCCCTCTCCTTCCCACTAATGAATGAGTTGCAGAACAGGCACTTCCGTGGAGCACTGGGGAATAATATGCATCTGATAATTGAAAGCTTTCCTGTTTCATAAGTGGGAAACTCTTCTTTTAAAGAGTCACTAGCAAGTGTCCTAGTCAGGCTTAAGCAGCTATCACCAACAAAATGACTTATGAAACGCCACTTCACTAACTGCAAACAAGATTTAATTGTCTAGAAACAAGCCTGGGAAGATTTTATAGTCAAGCCCACAGCTGGAGTCCATTCAGTAGGAACTATCTTCTTGACAAAAATACTGCCGAATGAACAAACACTGCAGCTTAGCGGTGACAGGGCAAACAAAATCCAAATGCATGCTATCAGAGGAAATCATCTCCGGGGTTCATTTTACCACAGAGGTCCAAAGATGAGTTCAGACACCAGAGCTTGCATCGCAGTACACTGCTTTGGGGAATCTGCCTGAGTGCAGCTTACAAGCCACATGCAACAGCAGCCATACATGTGAGGCTGGCTTGCCTCCACAGCATCTGCTCCCGGGTCAGGCCCAAACCTCCAAGAGTTAATCCAAGGAATGCTTGCACCTGGCACAGGATTAGCAGTGAAGGATTATCCAAGAGCAACCACACTCTCATCCAGCAGGCAACGCTCAACACACATGGCCACAGCCCAGCACAAAACAAATGGACTTTTGGGCCATGCTCCTAAAGGACATGGTGACTAAATGCCAGATCATTGCTTGGTGTGGAGGAGAACCTAACCATACTGATCCACAGATTGCTTTGCAGAAGGATCCCATCAAAGACAGGAAAGAAAAACAGCTGGAAGCAAAGCTAAGGGACTGTCAAGGTCTGAAAGGAAAGCTGATGGTTTCAGAAAATGGGACCAGCCTGCGTGACAAAACTAAACACTGGTGTAGACCCGGGACTGATGATTAACACCCTACACTGCACAGCCAGCTTTCCAGGCCACTGGCAGAACTCACCCTGGAGAATCTGCTGGATCCCTTACCCAAACACATGACAATATCTGCCACTAATCCACAGATTCTTAAACACAACCCAACAGTGGCAAAGTTCCTCTCATCTCCCAGCGCCATGCAGCTGCACAAAGCAACTTTGTGACCATACTCTTTATGCCTTCCTCTACAGCCCAAGTGGAAAGTCACTACAATATTTGGGTGGCACTTCATTCAGCACAGATGATGGCCAAGGGATGCTCTGAGTGGTGTCTAAAGCAACCACACTATTTTGAGCAAGGCACAGAAAACTGCCCAAATGTGGAGCTGCAGAAACTACTCACTTTTGCAGCAAGTCTAAAGCAGGAAGCAGAGGGACCCAAGTTCATAGGGAAATAGTAGGCTGCTAGCTTGCAAGCACAGGAAGCATCCCAAACCAGCACATTTCCGAGAGACAGCATCCATCTATCCATCCATACATAGTCATTCTGCACCCAAATTGACAGCAGAGCTGCACAGCCTCCTGCCAGAGGGTAACTAACTGCAAGACACAACCTCATCACAGTGCTGGGGCTGCCAGACCCCCAACAGATCCCACTATGAACACTCTTTATGAGTAGCTTAAATTCATGCCTAGCCTGAGCAATATAGCTGGGTTTATAATTCTGTTTTAAAGAAAGCCTAAAACAGTACTGCCAAGAGCAGCTTTCAAAACCAGCTAAAATTTGAAGCTCATGAAGCACTTACATATGCTTACCAAGCTTCCCAAACAAGCACTGAAGCACATCAAAGGATTGCTGAAAAAAGTGAAAGCTTTCCAGGAAACCTGCTTTATGATCTCTCTCTGTAACCCCAAGTCAGCAAGTATCTTCACACCATACAACTGAAAACCCATGATGATGTTTGCCTAGTTCATGTTCGCAAAATAACTTGCTAATGCACTGATGGCAACTGCAGGCTGGAGGCCTGTGAACTCAAGCTGACACAAATAAGCAGTATTAAAATAAGTTTATTTCCAATTTTCTGCTAGTTTTTAATTTCCATATGACCAACACGCTGAACTTTTCAGCTGTACATCCACTTCCAATGCAACAGTGTAGAACGATTTAAATATGAAACTGTACAGCACAAACACACATCACTGCATCTCCCCTTTCAATGGCCATTTTGTGCAAGGCATCACTAGAACCTTTTGTGCAACTCAGCAGAATAAAAACATTTTTTGTCCTCAGGCTGGCAAGCAGCAGTTGCCATGGAGGCAGGTTAATAACAGCCCAATGATTTGCCCAGAGCTGCCTGTGATCTTGGCTACAGATTTAACACACTCTCAGAAGGAGGCCAGCTAAAACAAGGGCTGAGATTATTCTCTAGGGAATGAATGCTATTAAACACACACACACACACACACACACAAATATTCTTGCTACAGGACAAAAATAAAGAGAAGAGAAAAAAACAGGAACCGGCTATTCTTTTAATCTCCTGGAAACTATCAGTCACAGGAAATTGGTAAAGGATGAACCTACATATGTACACAAATCAGCAATTGGTTGCTTAATGTATGAAGAACAATTATACAACCTACCCAGCAGAGTACAGGCTACCGCATATATGCAGGGGCTTAGCCATTCAATTTCCCATGTCAAATGGCAATTGTGTGGCTAAACCTTCTTTGATACTTTAAGTACAGCTTTAAGATTTAAACTCAGAAAAGCAAGGTAATGCAGAATTAATGGAAAATGGTCTTAAAAAAAAAAAAAGGCAATTCTCAGACTCTAACTCATCCTACTAAGGTCAATTCTGTGCTTCAGAAATGACAAAAGACAATGCAATGGGATCAGGTAGCTGTCTTGAGTATTCCCAGGGCTTGCCCTAGGAAGCTCACATATCAGCTCTCGAAGCCAGACTTCAAAAGCTGAGACAGACAAAGCCATCACAAAGCCATTCCTCTAAGCAAAGCATGGAAAACATGAAGTAAGGGAAGAGTGTCCACACCTCCTGGACAGAAAACCAGGCTGTCCTCTAACATCCCAAACTCCTTCTAGGTTGAACTAGTCCCTCAGTGTATCTCAGGTATGAATCATTGACCTCATAGGCAAGGTCACTATGGAACAAAAAGCAAGGAACAAAGCCTGAAAAGAAGTTTGAAAACCTCTCCATTTCAAGGATCTAAACCTCCAGGCTCCCATGAGCATTTTCCAAGTTAGCTCCAACTCTTTTCCTTAGAATTTTCATTTGTTTCCCTCCCATAAATCTGTCTTGCTGTTCTGAAAGATGAAGCAATGAGCACCAATTTTTTCTCATCTCTTTCTGTAGCCGGGTAATGCATTTCTCGAAATCCTGGCATGTTGGACACTTGCCCAGTTAATATGTGGTAGAAATTATGCAACATCTTCCACCACAGAACCATGATCTCTGTTGGCTTCAGCACCACAGTGCAGGGAGCACATGTGGAGGAACTGCTGTAACAAAGAGAATGTTACAAAAGACCCAAGGAAAGGAAAAGCACTAGATAATACTCTTAAATTAAAGCACTAGATAACATCTTAAATGCAGCCATCTCATGTAAATCAGGCTCATTATTACACATCCACAGGAGCCTGGTGTTGGGAGCATTACTCCCAATTCATAAATAAATGTGAGAGGTCAGTACTTTAGATCCACCTCCAGTTCTCCAGTGCTGAAGATTACCCAATACCAAAAGTGCATAATAGCATTGGAGTCATAAATCACCATGGATCTTTGTCAGAAAATGAACTGTAAGTCAATGAAAGCAAATGTCCATTTTCCTTTCTGCCACTGACTGTATTTTTTTTAAATCT